AGCTGTTAATACTACAAGTAACAAATGTTAATCCCAATGAATGATTACACGATATAATAATATTGTTCCCATATGCGATCTTATTTATCGTTACGCGTAACAATAAATTATATCGAATCTCTCCGATCCGATTAGGATAGCTACTAATTGTATAATATCTGCGCGCGGAATAGAAACAAATATTAATTCCGCCGCTGTTGGTTCGCCGGTGATCCGTAAACGATAATTCGCGTCGCGGTGCAAAATTAATTTTTACGAGCGCGTCGATTAAACGCTCGGCGGCCGCGCGACGAAAGCGCGGGGGGGGGGTTGGGGCTAATGATTCATCAATTTCAATTCCGATGATTTACACGCTTGCGAAATTACGCTCGGACGTTTTGCCGCGAAGAAATACGATCGGCCTGCGTAATCATCGCGCGAGCGCGATGTTATCAAGCCTCTCCGGTTCAATCGACCAGACCTTTTTTTCCCACCCCCAATTTTCGACGAGCCCTCGCGAGTGCGTTATTGCACCGGGGGCTGGCGGTCGTGCATCGAGAGCGCGCGGTCATCGGGCTGCCTGCTGCATTATTTCCGACATAATCGCATTTCGTCCGCGGTTTATCGACTCGTCGTTAAATCGATATATCGGGCGCGCCCGCGGAAGGATAACTTGCCAAATGAATTCCTCCGATGGAAATTTGTTCATCCGCAAAATTAGCCGCCCTCCATTCGCCACGCTTGAGGGCGGCTGAAGGAGCAACAAAAAAGGAGCGGATAAAAAAGCGGATAAATAAGCTAAATATGGAATTAAATCAACAAGTTGAATAATAATGAAAAATTTCATGAGAAAAAGTAAGCGTATAAAAATGCGCAACGATTAAAATATATTAAATAACCGCGCCGTGGAAAAATGCGTACGTACATACCGCCCTCGCTCCGCGTTTGCTTTATGTAGCGCGCTTTATTTGATGCTGGCGGGGAAGCACTTCAATATGCGGCTTATCGCAATACACTTTGCACGGCGGAGCCATGGCAAGCGTCGTTTTTAATCACCACGAGCACCAGGAACGTTAAAAGGGAAACCTGACAGTTATTGAGCTATTCAACCCGACGTGGGTGGTAACGCGCAGATCCGGTAAATCCCCGTGTAAAATCAGCGAGCGTGTGGCGACGTCGGTGACGTCGGCGGTTTCTAGCTGCTTCGATTTACTACTGTTTTTGACCTCGTTCTCGCCGATGGCGTTACAACGTGGTGAAAACGAATCAACGGACAAACGGCAGCGTATGAAACGGAATTTATATATAAGCTTTTATGTTATGCGCGCGGCACCTTGCGAGATAAAAAGCCTCTCTCTTCCCCCTTGTTCTCACCCTTGGACCTAACGAAGAGCGGTAGTTGCCAGCAGGGTGGTACTCGAAGGGCGGGCACAAGTGTTTTCATCCCCTCGAATGCTTGGCCAGGCGCACAACCTCGCCGTCGTTGTCGTCGTTCCTTTCGTACCGCGCATTCCCGGTTGTAATTTACAACCCTCTCACGAGAAACGTCCTCTTGGCTCCTCTCTTTCTCCCTCTCGCGACAAAGTTGATCTCTGAAACTTAGTCGACATTTCCTGTTTTATTGGGCGCGATCTGTATTTACGATTGTCCGCCCCGGGGATGGACCATTTTATTGTTACACCGCTGTTACACTGTCGATGTGCATCGGGGTAGGTTATTGCCGTGATCGATGAAAGTTGCGGATTTTATTTCGGACATTTGAAGCGTATTTATTTTTTTCAGCGTTATTTATGACTTGACACATTATTTATTTCGTTATAACATTCACATTTGTTTATAAATTTAAAAGTACGTAAAGAAATTATCGGAGATTTAAAATAAGCGATTGCAAACAAGAGAAAGCAAACGCTTTAGGCAATCATTAATAATTCCATAATTGATGAAACTTTTTCATCGGACGACCAGCAGTTTCGCGACTGTAGGCGAAAAAATCGGTATTGTAGATTATCAATCAATGCATGGAAGGATCGATTAGTCTGCTATTCAGAGAGCCGTCGTTGTGAAAGTGGAGCTCATTGAAAAATTCTCCTCTCGAGCGAGCATCGAGTTCGCGAACGAAATCGACCGCGCTTCTTTCGCATCGGTAGCGCTTGAAGGTTCCTACCACGACTTTTCCAGGGTGGAATGGAGAAGTATCGGCCGGAAATCTAAGGCTGCGGAGTCTTCCAAAGAGAGAGAGAGAGAGAGAGAGAGAGAGAGAGAGAGAGAGAAGAAGAAGAGGAGAGAGAGAG